TCGTCCCCCCCCCCCCTTTCCTGCCCTGCTGGGCCAGTGCTCGGATCAAGGGTCTGGTCAAGGGTCTGGTAGGAATGTTAGGGGGGACCCCACATTTTTCCCACATTTTTGGGGCTAGGGTTCCCCCATTAAATTAAATGTCATTTTGCTGCAACGAAATGTCATCCAACAAACAAAATTTAATCCAGACTACCGCTAACAAATTTTGGAATCAGAAATTTGGATTCATTTGCATTCATTATATCTGTAATTCGGAATTCGGATACATGCGAATGTCCGAATTTCCAAAATTTCGATTCGGAACAAAACGAATTGCACATGTCTACAGTAGTGTTGAATCATTAAGATTACCCTTTGCCAACACAGATTACACTATAATTGCAGCTGAGAAACCTTGAAGTATTCCTTTTGGCATCAAAGATTACATTTATGGAGAATAGGAGCCCTAACAGCTTAACAGCTCATAGATTATGAGGAACTAAAGGTTATTATTGGCTGGTATCTGAGGGATGGAAATTGTGATATTATTGGGTTGGAGTACTGACCTGAAGCAGCCCAATCCACCCGAGAATATCACAATTTACCCGTTTTTGCCTTGTTGTCATGGTTTTATTGGCAGAGTTTACATTGGTCCCTGTTTTACGCCCTCTGTGGGTGTTTAGTCAGATGCCTGTTCTAAATTTCTGGTCATGGCAAGTGTTTAGGTGCTTTATGCCAAGTGAGTGCTCACAGTTTGTGATTTGGTTCTTCTTAAACCCAATTTGTAATATGTCATGCAATGGAAATGGAATAAAAGATGCTGTTATAGCTTTGCCATTTTCCAACACAAAGTAGGGTAGGTACATATTCATCCTCAATGGCACCCCAAAGCATCTCCCAGTGGGTGTGCAGTGCCTTGGCATGCAATGATTTCTAACAACAATGCAGTGCCACATTTTATGCGCTGCTGCAATGCACACACACTGGGGAGGGGGGGGCGTGTTCAGGTGCTATTCAGAATAACTACCGTGTGCTGTGTGATAGCATGCACTAAAAGCACTGGGATCCCTGCATTTCGTGCAACGCTATGATGTGAATGAGTCCGGAAAGCTAAAACAAATTATAATCAAATATAATTAACACAGAAAACACAACACCATAGCAAATGTTCTGCCAAGTATTATCTGTTGATGAAAGGATAATGCAATTCCATCCTACATTAAAGATGAACAACAAGGCTGATAACATAAGGGGTCAGTGATTTGTTAGAATGTTAGAAGTTAGAATGTTAGACTATCTGACATCTCATTTTCCATGGGGTTTCTGTTGGTAAGATCTCTGCGCTGAGTCCCTGGGTTTGCACATCTGCAAAGAAATAGCCCATTGTCTAAAACAAGTCTGTGCCCAAACTAAAGTAGACCTAAGAGATTGGAGTTGCCACCTGTCTGGCATTCATCCGGACAGTCTAGTTTTTGAGTCCTGTGACCGAGTTTCAGGCCAGCTGACACCTGGACACAAGACAATAAGTGGTGGCATTTTACATTTTTTGCCAGATGAGGCTGCCTGAGGTCCTGTGCTTGCTGGGGACCTCAGCAGCCTTCCTGTGAGCTACAGACACCTGTAAACATATCCTCTGTCTTCCTGACAACATGCTGTCTGCCTCTGATCCCTGGTGAGACACCGCACAGCCGGCACAGCACTCCTGAGGGCCCGCATAGTCCATCTGAGAGTCAGCATAGTCCATCT